TAGGAGTGGACAATTTTTTATGGACTGTATCTGCATGGAATGTAGCATTGAACAATGTTTTGTATTCTTATTATTTGAAAACCTCAGCACAGAGACTAAAACATCATCCACTTGTACACTCCATAAAACTTAGATAAAGAACAATAAAAAATATTGTGCTGAAATGGCCAGTAAAATTGTGAAACTTTTTAGTTCTCCAAATGAAATGGATTTTCAATTATACTTTTTTTTTTCAAAGAGTTTAAAATACTTGTGTCTGTAACTCAGAAAATTTCTCTTAATTCTTTTGGATGGTGTATATCAGATATTAAACTAGTGAATCATTGAATGAAAGTGCTTAAAAAGTTAATTTTGTTCCTATAGAATACCAGATAAGCCTACACAGAAAGTGTACTCTTAAAAATAAGTAATAAACTGTCATTAAAAATTATATTTAGTGGCAATTTATTTTGTTGTCTATGCCTGAAGAAAATGAGGATATGTTCACAAACAAGCAGAAAGAACATTTATAGGAAAAATCAAGAATTGAAGTGCTTGAGAAATAAAACTCGATGAAATAACATTTACAGTGAATATGGATGAATATCAATCAAGTGGTTCATTATTTTACCTAAAACCAGCAACACCAAACAATTTAACAAATAAAAACAATATAAAATGTCTGACAAGTTGTAAGTTTCAATATAAACTCCCTGTCAGTTTCAATGTGGATATATTCATGATGTCTGAAAAACTGGTAGGTTCAAGAAGTCTTAATACAAAATGATAAAAACCGTATAACCCAGACTCTTTCTGAAGTGAAAATTTCTTTTTCAGGGACAAACTGGGGAATGTGATGTAATGGAATGAGTGATGTATAAAAGAGAGTTGGGTGACGTCATGAAGGTCATTTGGTCTTCCAGGAAATGTTTAGTATTCAAATTCGAAATGTTGTACATTTGCTGTCATGTTAAACTTGTATTAAAGTTTTTCTTCATTACCCATTTAAGCCGTCTCCAGCCATTATAAATGTTTAGTATATTTTTCCAGAAAGGTCTACCTTTCAAAAGCGCTTGGGTTATAATGTGGATATATTTTCATCATTGTAAAATTAAACGGCATCAAGATGTAATCATACTTGGAATTTTCAAAATGTACTAATTGCGGTATTTCTAGATATGGAGGAGCATAGGACCTGCCACTAAAGAATTCGATACCTGATGATGGCAAAACCTTGTCGAAACGTTGTATATTTGCTGTTATATTAAAGTTTTTCTTCATTACCCATTCAAGCAGTCTCCAGCCATTATATGCCACTAAAGAAGTTTATCTAAAACAATATTTATGTTATGTTATGTTCGTTGTTGCAATGTCTAGTCTAATAGATACTTTGTTTTTGTATATTTTAATATTTTGTTTACAACAGTGCACAGTGTTTGGAAAAGAAAACTAAAAGTCTTTATATGAAAGATAAATACAATATTTACATTAATTAAACTTTGTTTAAAGCTGCTAATGAACCTACATATTTTGACTTGGCTTAACAGGTAATAAACATTATAAATGCACTTTTATGTACAAATGTGAAACGATGCATACCTATAAAACTTTAGGTGACAAACATTTCTGGTATAGTACCAATTGAACAGCATCCTTGGTGGCCAATGTGAGCTAGTAATTGATCAGTTGAGGGATTTTGGTAATGGTTTCATTAATAATTTGCCAATTATGGCTCATGATGGCTCAAAATGTTTGCATGAATGCGAAGGTTATCACACACCAGTCAGCAAAGCAATAGCTAATAGTCCTTTCATTAATTGGCAAGCAAAAAAGTCAAAAATATATAAATAACTGCATAATATTATCAGTTTCATATACATTTTGGCCTCTAGTTCCCTAGGTTGCAGTTCATAATCTCCGTAAAGAACGTGGAAACTGCATTGATACCTATGGACTAAAATGGTATAAATCATTATCATTTGAAAAGTTTCTGTTTTGACCGTTTTTCCAGTAACCTTAACCCTTCCCCTTTCTTGATCAAAACGTGATAAAACATGCAAAAATATATTAATCTAGTCACCTGAGGGCTCTAAATATTGACAAAAATGGGAATCTACTCTTTGTATTATTTAAATGTCCAATTGCTAGAGTTGTTTAAGTTTATATGATATTCAAATACATTAATATCAATGTATATACTCCGGATAGAGTGACAACATAGGGATATATATATATATATTGTCTTTCAAGGTGCAGTTGAAGCTAGGTGATCTAATTGATAGTCTTATATATAAAACGCATTACATTGGGGTCCGCATGTTTACCAGATGTTCGCGCGCACAGCAAAGAAGTGCTTCAAATGTAGTGGATATATTAGATTTGTCAATGTGCATTTTTTGCCAGAGATTCATAAATGAACGATTAATATGTCCAGCTGAATCAAAAACATAAATATATTAGTGCAGGTTGAAACGCTGTTGTAGATGACTTGATCAATTTTCATAAGATCGGAGAAATACCAGAGCTTAAACTAGATTGGCTGGATGAGCGAGATAGGCTTATCACAACACTGACAAATCAAAGCAGAATGGCACAGGGCCTGTAAAGACAACTGCAACAAAACAGAATTCGGAAATCTGTTGAGTCGAATTAATTATGGAAATGGAAAATCTGAAGACTTACATCAAACAAGTTCCTGTAGCCTTGGCCCCTCAGTGGCACAGCGGTATGTCTGCGGACTTACAACGCTAGAATCCGGGTTTCGATACCCGTGGTGGGCAGAGTACAGATAGCCCATTGTGTAGCTTTTGTGCTTAATTACAAACAAACAAACCTGTAGCTTTGACAGTGGGATCAGATTCAGCTGACATTCGGGTTGGTGACCACCAAACCTTTAGCTAAACTTAGTGCAGGGGATGATGTGTTTGCTTCTGAAATGAAATACTATTTGAAGTGCTTGGTATCATTATATAACGATACCAGACTCGCGGAGGGTCACTATTCATTCGAATAGGAGAGAAATGATACGTTTAAACCAAAGATTTGCCAAACTTGTAAAATACCTCGAAAAAAAATTAACAAAATGAGCACACCACTATTAAAGTTAAGTGCCTTGGTTAGAACGTATATATTGCAAATGGGAAAGCTTGGAAAATCACCAAGGAGAAAGTTCATTCAACTCAACTGAAGAAATTCATAGGAAACAATCTTGGTATTCAGGTTCATACTAAAAGCAAAGATTTTATGTTGATCTGTCATGCAGATGTAGGAAGAATTTTGTTGGAGTTTTTGACAAGAGTAATGACAGTGATATTGTATGTTTAGCATGAGCAGTTAAAATAATACGTTTAGACTTGTTTGGTGAATTACTTATATTTGGAGATGCATTCACATCAAGCTGCCGAGAAACATCTGTTCCATTAAAGCTTTTGGCATTAGTATGTATGTTCTTACAAGGTCTGCACATAACTAAACTAACTGCCACCCTAGTGCGACTTAAAGTTCTGACCATAGTGCAGCTCTTTCTGCAAAACAGAATCAAACACCAATGTTGGAAATCATCATCTATCACTATGCGTCATGACTGAAGTCAGGAGACAACACTCCTGCTCTACATTGAAATGATGGCGTATGCGTATATCAGAAAACAATGATTGATTGACAACGTGTTTAAACTTAGAATTTGACAGAGTACTGCATTTGCCCACAAATCTTGCCAATGCTATATGTGAAAGATACATTGTAACTCAAGTATGTATCAAAAGAAAACATTTATTAAATGAAATAGTCTCCATTCTTATCGATGATGCTTTTCCATCTTACAATCAGGTTGTTAATGTCCTGATTAAAGAAATCACTTGGCTTTGAAGCAAAAAACATGTCGATGTCCTCTTTAACACCTTCATCGTTTGCATACGTTTTCCCATTAAGATAGTGTTGCAGCGAACGAAAAAGATGGTAATCTGATGGTGCCATATCTGGAGAATATGGTGGGTGGGGGAGAACTTCCCAACCCAATTACATAATCTTGTGTGCGACCCTTAACGATTCACAAAGCTCTTTAGATCTAAAATTGTCACACTTAGCTGTTGTGTAATATATATACATTGTTTCATCCGTCCATTTATCGTTTTTCTTAATAACTAACTAAACTAATTATTATAATTTTAGCAATAATCATCTTTATAACACAATTTTCAGATTTCCCTGAAGATGGAATAAGTTATTATGAAACGTTCAAACCTTGAAAATAAGTTTTATCAAGTCTTCATTATTATCCTCAATATCTTTAAATAAGTACTTACAATTAATTTTTCATATTTTCACTTTGATGAACTCCATCACAGCAGTCACTATAAAATTATGCTTTTTTTTTTTAATTCCATCCCTTTACTTTCGTTCTCTACAAGGTATATTGCCTACCTTGGGTATTTAAAACACAATTTTTTCCAAATACGACGAATATCTACTTAATTTAGTTGACCAATTGTCGATTCATCTCACCCAAGTCGGTTTTAGAAATTTTGATTCTCGAATAAACAGTGATTTAACTACATCCTATATAATTGAAAAGTTCAGGAGCATATATGTACCACCTACTCTACTTCAGCTCACAAAGTTTTAAATATTAGTTAAGCTACTCATTTTATTTCATAATTTTAGTGGCAATAGTGTCCTTCATTCATGTTAAGGCAGAGCTCAATTTAAAGATTTTAGCAACTTGTATAAAGTTTAAGTACTAGGTAGTAAACCAGTGCAATTATATTTCGAGAATATAAACTTACCGGGGTCTAATAAAAAAGTAATAAACAGTCACTTCTAATAAATGTATCTAAAATCTACTACAAAGTTACTTGTCACCAAAAAATTACATTTTAAACCACAGTATTCCCAAATGCTTGTATTAGGTTATGTATTAAAGACCACAATCATACAAATCTGATTTTTCAAATGTTTAGAATTTTATTGAAAGTTTCAAAACAAAACAACCGCTTAATAACCAAGATATCTTCTATATTTGCTTTTTTTTTTTAATGAAATAGTACAAAAATTAAAATAATCACAAAAAAAATATTTTTGACATTTAAAACAGCGAGAAGTACAAGAAAAGTTATTGGCCTCCACGCAGTCTCAGTACCAAGTGAAGGGTTGATTCTTTCTGAATGTTGTAATCTGACAGGGTTCTTCCATCTTCCAATTGCTTCCCAGCAAAAATTAACCTTTGTTGGTCTGGAGGGATTCCCTCCTTATCTTGAATCTTAGCTTTCACATTTTCGATTGTATCACTGGGTTCTACCTCAAGGGTGATGGTTTTTCCTGTCAGAGTCTTAACAAAAATTTGCATTCCTCCTCTGAGCCTCAGGACTAAGTGAAGTGTAGACTCTTTCTGGATGTTATAATCTGACAGAGTTCTCCCATCTTCTAACTGTTTTCCTGCAAAGATTAACCTCTGTTGGTCTGGTGGAATTCCTTCTTTATCCTGGATTTTTGCTTTCACATTTTCAATAGTGTCACTGGGTTCAACTTCGAGGGTTATAGTCTTGCCTGTAAGAGTTTTGACGAAGATCTGCATGCCACCACGCAACCTAAGTACCAAGTGAAGTGTGGACTCCTTCTGAATATTATAATCTGATAAGGTGCGACCATCTTCCAACTGTTTCCCTGCAAAAATCAATCTTTGTTGATCTGGTGGAATTCCTTCTTTATCTTGAATTTTGGCTTTTACATTTTCAATAGTATCACTGGGTTCAACTTCCAGAGTAATTGTTTTTCCAGTAAGTGTTTTAACAAAGATTTGCATCCCACCACGAAGTCTCAGAACCAGATGTAAAGTAGACTCCTTCTGAATATTGTAATCTGACAAGGTACGTCCATCTTCCAACTGCTTTCCAGCAAAGATTAATCTTTGTTGATCAGGTGGAATTCCCTCCTTATCTTGGATTTTAGCTTTGACGTTCTCTATGGTGTCGCTAGGCTCTACCTCCAAAGTGATTGTCTTGCCTGTTAGCGTCTTTACAAATATCTGCATTTTAATCTACGAAAAAGATATGCAAGAATATTTTTTTTCTCAACAAGTTCTTTTCACATCACACATGAATAAGATAATATTTTAGTCTAACTTCTAGTATTATAGTAACAATATTACAAAACACTTAGATTGAGGGTATCATAAAGTTAAAGTATACTATGAATTTCTCCTCCTAAAAAAAAAACAAGCTTTGTAATTTACAGTTTATAATTAATGTATCAAATGTCACTAAAGTAACACTTTGTAAGTTGTACTCCAGTTTATTTGAAGCTGAAATAGCTTTAAAAAACGCCACTTCCAAGCATACGTGTATGAACCACTACTTGAATACTAGATTTTCAGGCACACTCAACCTTAATACCGTTATTGAAAAGTTTTAAAATGGCGTCTTAGTTTTGGTTATGCGGAGTTTAACATCAACAACTACGTATAGTACTACTCTAAACCACATTCTTAACTTTATATTAATGTTAGTAAAAGTTTACTGATGTTGTTAAATAACAAAGGAATCACAAAACTAAAATAAAGGATTACCTTACTTACGAATAAGTCGTATATTTTCCCTTAACTACACAAATGCAATAACTTTCCTCCTTCTCTACTTGCGAACAAAGAGCAACTGATAATAGTGTGTAGCGCTCCTCAAATTTATATGCAACACCTATTGCAAAATTCTATTGGAGAATATTCTACTGCATGTATTCGTCATCTGTTAAGAACCAACCAGACACCTCGAAAAAAAGTGCTATTTCATACCCGGATGTTAAGATATTCTAGAAATTACTAAGTGAATAATAGACAAACTTGTAAACAGGCGAGGGAAATTAAAATAAAATAAAAAGGAAAACATTTTACAAATTTGTTACCTTTTAAAAGAGACTCAGTATTCCTTTCTATCACTCTCATTAACTGTATTTATGTTTTTCGTGTTTACTGTAAACTCTTTGGGAACATATAATATGTCGTCCAAGAGGTGTCGCTTTGGTTTAGTTATGTTTGTAACTGACTAAAGAGGAAAGAGTTGTGGTATTTCGTCAAGATTAATATAAGGGTTTGTTTATTTTTTTATATTATGTTTTATAAGTATAGTATACACTTGCAATATGTTAATTAAAGAGGCATCAATAGTATGGCTGGGGTCGCTTGATTAAATTCACTTTTGTAATTAGTTAGATAAGAAATGGAGCAGAACTAAACCGGAAATTATAAATATGATGGAGGAAATTTTTCTGTTGCCGTTGGTGCAGCGATTTTATTTCTTTTCTTCAATTCGTTATTGGTTATTCGAAAACAATCTAAGCTATACAGAATATTACGAATTATTAATTATAAAAGATATTAACATTTATGGTGGTAGAATTTTGCAAATATTTGAAATACGAGTAATACAGAATAGTACAAATTATATGTTATTTATTTACAAAAGACTGAAACAGTTCATTTGTCACTGGAAAATCGAAGCTTTGATGTAGATCGTTGTAACCATTTGAGAAGTTGTTTACGACATTCCCTGCTTGATGATCATGGATTGTTATTACCGTATTAACATAGCATAACGTTTTGGGACAACATGGGACCTATTGGTCCATCTTGGCTGTTCCATCCTCTAAACTAAATAAAATTGATTTTAAAAAATAAGAAAATTAAAGCCAGCCCTTATTATTCACATACTTCACAAGCTTTTTCTTAAACTCCTTAAATTTACTGCCTCTACAACATCTGAAGGCAACTTATTCCAAAGGCCAACCACCCTGTTAAAAAAATTAAACTGTCTTAGCTGAAGATGACTCCTACCTTGCCAAAATTTATATTTGTGTCCCTTAGTCCTACTATTCTCCCCATTAAGTGTGAAAAAAGATGATGCATCAATGTTATCAGTTCCTTTTACAATATTAAGTTAAACACCTAAATTAAATTCCCCTCCCCTAATTCTTCTTTTTTCAAGAGAAAACAATTTGAGAGATTTCAGCCT